TCGATAAACCGATGCGATAAATAACGATGATAAATATACCTGCCTACTCATTAGCACACCTGTTTATTTATGTATCAATTTATTTCTCATCTCAGGTTAGGTCAGGAGACCAGACTCAAGGCTATCGCAAGATAAAAATCAATCGATTAGCGCTTGGAGATTCAGAGACGATTTTTCACCCTCTTCGTTCCAGATGGGGCACATTTTTCAGGATCAGAGACCAGAGTGGTTCCCTCTGGAACCCTGCCAGCGTTGTTCGGCTTCGTGAGGGCATTTTTCACTTTCATTAGCCCTCATTCTGGTAAGACCTGTAAGGTTTTACGAAGCCGCGAAATGGTTCGCGAGTAAGCCGCTGTGGTCACAGAAATTTACAAGGTTTTTTCAGAGCGGCCTGCACAATCTTAGCAGTGTACAATGCCCCCACCATGCCGAACTGTGCCTCCCCGCCTAATTGTACTTAGAATGATAATAATAGTTGCATTTATTTACTTATTTGTTCTCTACACAATGGCGTAGGGATGTCAGAGTATTTATCCTTCTGCGGATCGGCACCGAGTAGCATGGATTCCAGTTAAAGGCAAGTGACAATATTTCACCTTCCGACAAGCGCTAAGCCCTTTCAGGTGCACTATCGATGGTTTTGTTGAGAACGCAAAACGTAAGCCCGATGCGGGGCTCGAACCCGCGACAGCCAGATTAAGAGTCTGGTGCTCTACCGACTGAGCTAACCGGGCTGACACTTGCAGGAGTACAACACTTTTGCCCTTCGACAAACATTGTAATGCGCATTGCGTGAGATTGTCGTCTTGCCAAGGTCACTCGCTCGAGACCAGACAACCAAAGAGTGGAAATTTCAAAAGGTGGCAATTTTTCAGCTGTAGCTCGCTGAGGAAGGGGCGAAACCCATCACTCGGCATTCTTTTTTTCCAATTTGGTCGATTTTTCAAGACCAGTGCAAATGCCCTTATCGATACGTTTTCGTGCATAGATAAAAATGGAGAACGAGGAAGTTGAAATACGAATTCCGGGAGCAGTTCGAGGACTGGAGAGGGGGGGGGAACATTTTGCACTTTTGCTGCTTCAGTAGTTCCGGTTTACAAGTCTCACTCTGGTGAAACCTGTTAAGTCTTGGGAACAAGCTCGTTGAGCCATCATGGTTGAACTTGTCAACTCAAGAAAAGGTTTTTAAGACGGGTCGACGCGTCGATGGGAAATGTAAAATGCCCCCCCCCGGTCGCCAAACTGCCCCTATATCCCGTAGATTTCAGGGAAGCAATTGCATCAAAGGTCCAGGTCCCTCAAAGCGGCTATTTCAACGGCAGTCCACTACCAAAAAAGGCATGATTATTACTGCATCGGGGTTGCATGCCGGAAAAGGCCCATTGTGCGTACTAGTAGTGGACATGTGTAGTTAGGTACAAATAACCCACTGGATGCAGGCGTATTTACTCCCTGAAAAACTCGAGTAGTCCAGTGGGAACTCAATTAATTATGGCTTTGTTTTTGTGCGACACAAATTGACGCTAGCTTTGAGTGCCTTTCAACTTGAAAGGGTCCATGTGGTGATTCAAAAAACTTTACGTTAGCTGTTTACTGGTGTTAAAAAAATTGGCCTTTCAAATTCAGGGTCAAAATACCTTTAAGTCGCAGGATTACATTTTTTCGATCAACTTCCAGCCAGAGTACGTCATGCCGTTGGGGTCAAAACATCCCCCAAGTTTCCTCGTCTGGTAGGCAGGGCACGCCATCGTTGTGATGATCGCAACGGGGGTCGTACTTGACCGCGAGGGAGGGGGGGGGTCGTATATGGTTTGTTGGGAGAGGGACTGCCAAAGATCTATACAACTACTATTTCCGATAGTTGAAAATGATAGTTAAATCCTGACGACCTCCCCGCTCGACAGCAAAATTTTGGGGAAAAACCAGAAATTTTTCGGGAAAAAATGGAAAAAGTGGTAGGAAGTTGGGAAAATCTAGGAAAGTGGTAGGTAGCATGGGGAGAGGGAGTCCTATTTCTCAGGAATTGATCACAACGCGATGGCGTGCCCTGCTGGTAGGACCCCTCCCCTGCACCCATCCTGTACCCATCCCCCAATTCTATAATACCTACCATCTTCCAAATTTTCCTAAATTCCTACCACTATTCCCGAGGTTTTCGTTAAAAAACCCACTTTCTCCTTCAAGAAACGCTGTCGAGCGCTGAGGAGGAGGTGGGTTCCCGGGAGAACAGGGAGGGGGGGGGGAGATGTGGCTCATGGCGCACTCGGAACATATGGTACAGGAAAAAACGAGAAATGTCAAGAGCAACGGAAACATTCTTTCTCAAATGCAAATACGACTCCTCTCCCTCAAACAGTCAAATACGACTCCCTCGCTGGAGAACTCCCACTAGCGATGTGTCCTGGTTCAAATACCCCGACCTCTCCCCCCTAGTCATCTTCACCCAGCCTTCTGCCCATTTCCCATTAGCGGATGGCCTAAGCGTTCCGTTCGCAGCCATGTAGTCCCCTGAGATGTGGGCATCGTTAATTTCCTGACCTTCCACCTTTGCGCTCCAATTACGCGCAGTACCCTTGAGTGCGCGTTTCCTCTTTAATGAGCGTCTCTCACGCCTCTTCGGAAGTCATCCCAAAGACGTCCGCAGTCACCGTCGACCGCCTATTCAACCCGAAACATGGATCTCAAAGAGAATATGCCGTTCCTCTACAGCCCTTGTCCTGTTTTCAGGGAAAAGTCGGCAAGAAAAGCCCAGTTTAGGCCGCCTCTGCATTTCCCTTTCCACTTGAATGACTAAAGAGCGGGTGCGAACCATGAAAGATACCCTAAGGAATTGTCAGTCAATCGGATGGAAGCAACGGATGCTAGTGTCCGTGTCACATGAAATTCCCGGGGGACTCGGCGGCAGTTTAAAACTAAAGGAGTTCGACGTAGAGGGCTAAAATCGTCGTCGCTCCATCAAAGCCAGTCACGCGTTAAAGACGACACCTTGGATATTACAAGGACAAGGACATCTAGCGGTAGATAAAACGAGACACGAAAAACGAGACACAACGGGCAAGTGAGAGACAGGCAGGGCAGCGCTACCATAATCTCACGACGGTCTCGATACCTTTGAAGGCTTTAGTAGAAGGAAAACGACGAGCAATGGTGGTAACATTATCCCGGTCTCCTTGAAACAAACGGCGACAACTGTACAGATAGCTGCTACAGCCGCACTCTAGAAATGAACTACCTGGTCTTAGCGGACCTCATATTCTGACGAAAAAATAACATACCTGAGTTTTGTAGTACAAAAGAATGCCAGCCAGTACTGCTATGGCCACAAGAACGTCAGCTCGTCCAACAACGCCAGCCACCGCTTCACAGTGAATCGGATGAACTGCGAAGAGAGAAGAGCGGCGAAAACAGCTGGTTCTGGAAAAAATGGGTTTTCAATGAGGAACGTTCTTTGCCTTCGCTCTAGATCCAGCCTCCGCCTGCGACAATCACTATAGCTCTCCAAGCTGAAATTGTAATAAGTTTAGCCTGCTGTGGCTAGAAGCTAAACCATCAGCACAGCAAATGCGTTATAGTTGTCTAAGTACTAAAGCACGAAAAACCGCTGTGTAATGTATCATAATGTAATAGAACTACTATTAGGGTTCGTCCCACACGTGGCAATATCTTAGCGAGGACAGGTCTTGGAAGGAGAGAGGGGGGGGGGGGTGAATCGCTAGCCATTTCTCGCTTTTCCCGCTTTTTCAGTCTACTGCCGCATATGTGGATTTCCGTTGACGGTAGCTTTCAAGAAAAAGTGGAGATTTTTCGGAAAAAACCGAGGACAGTGGTTAAGAAATTAGGCAGGATTTTGAAAGAGATGTAAGGAGGATGCAAGCAAGGGAGTCGTATTAATGCAAAGACTTTTTGAGGGGGCCATATATTTTGTAGAAAGTTCCCCAACGCAGGACGTGCCCTGAACGCTATGGTCAGCAGGGCCCGTTTCGAGATTAGCTCACATTCTCGGGTTGGACCATGCAAAACCAAGTGACTCCAGACACGACAAGGTCAACACGAAAATGCTATTGTAGTTGACGATGTATTGGGTCCAACAATTAAAGAATGAAACGCTAGCCATCGACCAGTATTCCAGTATGCGCCACGCATCTTGAACTCAGGTGTTAGCATTTGCTGGCTAGAGAGCCTACCTCTCTCGAGGCGGAGGCATTGTAATGGCAAGGTGCGGACCTTGGGTTCGGACCCCGGAACGGTCACTTCCAGGACAACCAAGCCCCTCACCCTCAGGGAGCGGCAAATTGGTTCTAGTCCATCGCTGTCAGTAAGCCACTACGATTGTGGGAAGTGGAATATCCCAAAAAGAGATTGATCAGCGTTGAAGACATTACCTTTGTCCCTTAGGGCTCAAGTTCTAGCTGCGAGGATATCGCGCGAGACTGAGAGGATATGATGAAAGTTGATGTAAATTCAGCGCTTGTTGCGACTATAACGACGTTAGGTGACATTATCTCACGCTTAGCCTTGCTGCTGTGAGGAACTTCCCGGTCAAGCACTATTCGCTTTTGGGAACATTGGATTTCCACTTCGCTGTATCAATGAATATTCAATATCTGTTTGTTTATTGGTAAATTTATTGTTTCTATTTGATTTATTCATCGCGTTCATCCGTTGACAGACGTTCATCCATTAAAATTCTGCGCGCGGCGACAGGAGAGACCCAACAGGCCTCCCACTGATTTGCTATCCTATTTATTTATTTATATAATGCCAATTAATCTCTGTTCTAGCGCTCGTGTTACGATTCGTATAAACAGCTGCGGTCCCCATACTCACCAGTATCCATAACTAATAACGCCTCTGCATATACTAATGATTGACTCAGCATGAAGTCATCAGGGTAGAGCACTTACGTCGGCGCGACAGTCGTAAACAAGCACTCGGCTTTATTTAATGTGGCTCGTTACGTACTAGTTAGATTGACAAAGAAATGGGATCTCACTAGGCTACTATAGGACTCCTCTGTTGACTTGAGTGACTTTCGAAGGCTACACAAAAATAGAAATTAATGGGATTTGATGGCAGAATCCTTTGAAAGGACAAGATGGTCCTTTCCGCGATAGCAGAGGGTGTACCACAGGTAGGTTTCAAGAAGATCGCAGGGAACGCACTGTAAACTCCAAATTTAGGCCCACAAGCTCCCAGTAGAAACATGTTGGTCCACACCGCACGTGTCATCACAATAGTCGCTCCCTCGCAATTTTTTTCTCTCAATCCTTTTCAATATATCTTCGCCCGTGTTTGCACTGTGTTGCAGTTGACCTTGGTCACTACAGGTTGCGTTCATACTCCGCGACTGCAATCTTCCATCGCGCGTCTACGACTGTACGCGCTCCACCGCTAGTCGTTGAACCGCTGCAATTGCATATTCAGACACAGTCAAGATAGCCCTTTTTTCGGACAATGCAACGGTCCAACGATCTGGAACGATTACGTTTCTATCAATTATGTTTCTGAAGTTCTGAGCACATGCTACTAACCGAAAAATGAAAAAAAAACTGAGGTGGCCCACCTGAGCTTAACGAAATCAGCTGGAATCGCTGAATGAAGTACAGCAAAAGGCAGGAAGCCACTGCATGGAGAAAAACGTTGGTGGCATGAAAACTAAAAAAATTCTCGAAAATGTGGACTAGCTGACGCTATAGAGTAATGTAGCACTTGATTTGTTACAGAAAATTGGTATATAGGTGGAAAATGAATGATGGAGGATGGGAATATTCAGGCGTCAAAATAGACTCTATAACATAACAAAAAAGAGAACAGAATCTAGAAAAAATGGGATAGTTCAACAGCCACCGAATTGTGACTTCAGTACTAACACCAGGCTACCGTAACACAAAGTGGCGTCAAATGAATTGTAAATCCATCCGTGTATGCCCAGGTGGCTCTCAAAGAGCTATCTTGCATTTCACTGCCTCCCCTCTGAAAAGAAGTGCAACGCATAGCGCATCCCAGAAAAGGACCAAGTATTTTGTTCACCTCATGTTTTACCTTCTACCTGAGTAATTCCCTTCTACTTAGTTATTCCATTGCTCGTCGACTCTGACCACTATAGAAAGGCATCTTCAGATCCAATGCAATAGCAACGTCCTTTTGGCAAATCCCATACGACATTGCAGAATTTTTACGACCCCGCCAACAACATATTGCGTGCACATAACGAGTCCTTAACTAGGCCCGGGAGACGTGTACGACGACATCGCTAAACGTTCGCTTCCATGACAAATGAGCACAACTGAGGATCTATGGTTATTGCCAAATAAAGACTGATGGCGCCGAGTTTGAGGCATCAAGAACTCTGTGCGACCTTGAAAATTCATTCTCAAGAAAGGACAGAAAATTTGAGACGGTAGAGGCATGATCAAAGGGCATAAACTCAAACCTTTGGTGCTTATCTGTCTTCTCTTGGGACACGCCATGCATTCTATATAAATTCAGAATTGTGGTAGTTTCTTGAATGCAACATGGTCTGCACAGAGATATTCTGGGTAAGCCCGTGAACAAACTAGTGTTATTATAGCCAAGACGAACCTGAGAGATATCAGTCTCCGAGTTTCGGAGGAAGACAGAACTTATCCGGTCTCCGAGTTCCGAAAAAGCCAAGAGCTCGTTGCTCTTGAAGTGAGGGGGTAAGGATTTGGCAGGCAACCGCTCACGTGGTAAGCGGCCCCACTTGCCACTAGTACTCCTCGAGGGTCTTCCCCAACTCATCTTCCTATGGCAGGAAAACTGCCAGATCGATTTACGTGTAGAGGAAATCTTTGTATCCACTGAAGAAAGAACTCTCTCTTTAAGATGAAATTTGCGGTAAAGTGAGTGAAAGTGAGATCCAAAGAGTTCATGTCTGAGGAGAATCATTTTAGAGCAGGGCACATCATTAGTTGGGAATTTCGACTGAGTCCGTACGACCCGTCCCCTTTTGCTTAGGCGGTCGTTACACCCCCCCCCCTCTCCTTGGTTCCCTCCTCATCGAGCTGTCCAGTGGGGAGGGGGAGGGTATATAATACACACGAAACGAAAACCACGACCGAAATGTAAGCATTTCAGCGGGGCAGACGGGAAATACGACCGCCTCTCAACAAGAACAAACACACCTCCCCAACGTCCCTGAAGCAAGAAAAATCAACTATTAACAAATTATTTCTCTGCCCAAATACGACCCTCCTCTCCCAGCGACCAAATACGACCCCCCTGTTCGCCCTGTTGGAAAAAATCCCCCAACTTGATGTGCCTGTAATTCTAGAGGTGACGGTACGCCTATAATGGATAAATTGCTTTTCAGGTGGATTCCCTTATAAGGCATCCGTCCGTATCGAGTTCCAAGAGCAGACGAGCCGAAGGACTTTCCCAGCACATCCTCCCATGGCAGAAAAAACAACCTGATGTAGTTATAAGGTGTCACCTCCCCTATAGCAATCCTGGCCGCGCTTCGCCAGTTTGATTAATATGAAAAAATGTGTGCCAACTTTTAGAGATAGTTGGAGGGTCAGGTAGCGCAATAATTACGTCAACACCTCCTCCATTAGCTATTAGAATCCCCTATTGTTGCTCCAAGTGCTACAAACAACTAAAGTGCATATTCCATTTGCGAGAAATGGTACGTGACTGATATAAATACCGAAAAAACAGCTCCTTACTCATTATTCATCCGATTCGGAGCCTTTGACCTATTCTTTCACTTTTTACCCCTCTTATGATCCCCTGACACCTATAATTCATATCCTAATTCCACTATCCACGCCTTGCTATTGTGGAATATTCCTTCCGAGGATGAAAGACTTCTAAATGTATTGGCCTACGCTTCTACAAGGTCGTGGGGCGGGGCGGAGTAACTCAAGATGCCAGCGCACCTTGAATCACAGCTCTCGATCCATAGATTTCGGAAAAGTTAATAGGCGCTTTCCGCTGAATGACCGCAGGGGGGTTCTATAAGTCTGGCCTTTCTTCGTTTGTTGAGCTTCTACATTCTACTTCAGAACGGAAAAGAGTACGAGCACATCAACGAGAGAACTCTCTGGGCCAGTTCTCACTCGCTCTATTCAAGTAGAAGTACATACAACCTTGAGTACCATTTTCCAACACTTCCGAGATAGTCTAACGAGGAGTTACATTTTATCCCTACGACCAAGATCTTGTAATCTTCTGCATTAGTACGGCCTCAAGGGTGGTATAAACTGGGTTCTCAAAGCTGTCCAGAACCATAATCAACCATAATGGATAGCGAAAAATGAATGGGAATTGATAAAATTCCTCATTGTTTTCAGGGATTCAATTCCTTGAAGTTATGCTGAAAATAAAGGGTAGCTTACTTTCTAACTTGTTTTCTTTATAAGACTTCTGCCTCACTAATCTTCGAGAGAAAGCTTAGCGATTCTCTCGAGCCATCTCCCTATTCTTCTTATTTTACTCTTTTCGCAGAGCGAACTAAACATTCCAGACCAAAATCCCCATTCTCCCTGAGCTTTGTAATAAATCCCGGAAGCCCGTTCTTCCCAGCCCTTACCTACATATATGTTCTTCTAGCTAGTTCCCATTCCGCTATAGCCACTAGCGCAGTAATTTGATTTGGAAGCGAGATTGGTCTTTAAATCCGATGCAATCGGATCGACTAGCCGACCGCACACCACCCTGATGAGAGTGGCCGGCCTTCAGAGGTGCACCGCATGAAAGCATCAATAGAAGGGTCCGTGGAGGCCAAGGGAATCTGGTAATTGGTTGTTGGCGCTCTGTTGTGCCCATATGACGCGAAGATATACGAGAAGAAATCAAGCCGATGAGATAATTACAGAACAGACGAGATGAACGAGGAAGCAGCAATAAGACTAAGAATCAGGAACTAAACGAACAGATGACGAGAAATAAACTCACGAAAAGGGCTCCATGCCAAAGAGGAAGGCATTTAGCCGGAAGCTGAGCGTAGTTAGTGGCCGGTAACTTTTGTGCGATCCACGACTCAGCCGGTTTCCCCAGAAATCCAACGTCCACGCTTGAGCAGCAGGCACATCGCCGGTGACCACTGGATTTGAGACGATCGCTTGGCTGAATAGGAGAAATCACGTAGTCGAACCTCGGAGAGTAGGTTCTCAACGCCATAATTCCATAATTAGATAAGAACTGTCTGGATAATCAGATATTACGTCAGACCATCAATTAGTGACAATAAGGATAATTAATGGTTAAATTCCAATGTCAATGTTTTTTCGTCAGGATTTCGCAACCTCCATATGTAGGTGTTATAAATTTCATTTTTCGATTCTCATCCCAGAGATTCTCATCTCTTCCCAGAGAAATTTCGCTGTTTGACTTGCGGAGGCACACTCGTCAAACAAAGTAAGAAGCCACTTTGAGAGCTTTCATTTTTCACATGAACGAATTAAAGCTACAAGGGAAGGATGGTAGCGTCGAGTGGCCATTTTGAATGAAAGAAATTACCGCGCTGCGAAGGTCTTCGGACGGGAATTACGAAACCGTCTTCCATATCTGCTGCGGACCTCCCAGAAGGAAGTTACGGAGCTTTTTGGTGAGAGAATACACTACAAATTGGTCAGCGGGTGCGTGGTCGAGGGTTTGGATCCTTGATGCGTGTGCTCTTTTGCATTTTTTCGAAAGTGGTCCCTGTGCACTTCAAAGCTATTTTGCATGATACTTGTCCCTGATAAATGTCCTTATGTAATGATTCTCTGGAGCCATTGGTGAAGCCATTCCAGCGAGCAATCACTTCTGGCTATTGTCTTTGTTCTTTTCTTTTGATTTTGGAGAGGCATACACAACAAAAGTGCATTCCAAAGGAAGTTTTGCCTTCAAATGACTTTATTCTCCAAACGAGATGACTGGAAAACGAATCCGTACGCACGAAGGTGTGCACGAAGATGAGTATAGTGGGGAAAATGCTTCCATATGAAGTGGCGTTGATGTGACAAACATGCTGCTGAAGATTGCGATGGGCAGAAGCTTCATTTACCACTCACATAATGTTGAGTTATGTCTATCAAAGTGTTTTCGTATCTGCTGGAAGTTTTCGGCTCGTATGACAATCTCTTCAGCCGGAGGTGATCTCCATGAAATCGTTCGCAATGGCTCCATCAGTTCAGAAAAACTACGTCACGACATTATCAGGCACCAGAGTTATACAAAATAGCTTTGAAAGTGCACAGGGGCCACTTTCGAAAAAATGCAAAAGCGCACCGCATCAAGGATCCAAACCCTCGACCACGCATCCCGTGAGCCCCAAGGACGTTTCCACTCGCCATTCTGCGCTACGACTCTCGCCAAGCCTTACGCTGCCAATTTTAGTGTATTCCTCCCCTAAAAACCTCCGTAACTTTTTTCTGGGGGGTCCGCAGCAGTTATGGAAGACGGTTTCGTAATTCCCGTCCGAAGACCTTTCAGCCGGTATACATTTCATTTCAAATGGCCACTTCGACCTACCATCCTTCCCTGTAAGGCCCGTTGGTTTGTCTCTGGGAAATTGACACAGCGTGGTCCAAACCAAGGAGTACCACCCCCTGGTGGTAACACACCACTTTGAAAACCATCCAGTAACGCTCCAGATTAGCTCTTGACTTAGAATCAACAATCTATGGATACTTTGAGTTCGAAGTATTCTGGTCTCTTGAAGAAATGATGATTTGCTTGGCGCCACTTCTTTCTATCTGTACTTAAAAGACTCCAGCGATTTAGACTTAATAGGCAAAATAAAGTAAGCGGCTGATTTAAAGAAACGAAGGGTGATCGCTGAAGCTAGCAATCACACTTCGTTAGCACCACACCAAGCCACTCCCCGATCATTTTATAATTTGCAGACCCACATAAATCAGTTTATTCCTTTCTGTCTGGGAGAAGTTATGTGCTGAGCGGCAATGACCAGTAGTGAACCAATAAAATTGACCGTTTTAGGAAGTTGTTTGGCTTACGGGGGGGGGGGAGCGGAAGCGGGGAGGGAAGATTGGATCATTTCGTGCTTTTGTTGGTCCATACTAACTGACCAGCGAGTGCCCTATGAACTTTTGAACTCATGCGAAGCTTCGAAAAGCTCCAACGGCTTCTTTGGTTACAAGAAATCCCAGTTTTCCACAGGGCGGTCTTTGCAAGCTTAGCAACATTTGGTGCCCTCAACAAAGCGATCTGCGCTGCTTATTTGTTAATTATTAGGTGTTCTAACAGACACCCAGTTTTATTCCAGTTTTCAGTTTCCAGTTTTTTTTTACTAAACTCCAATTTCGTGTGACTAGAAACCCTTCACCGATGGAGTCTTGTGTGTTCATAGCGAACATGTAATAAATATTTAATATGTTCCGATTATGACCTCTAATCTTTCGGTGTTACCAACGGAGTCGGTTCGCTTAGAGGTCTGCGACCCGTGCGATATCGCTGCGATCGTTAGCGTTGTGTGATGTTATCAAAGAGCCTGTGGAGGTCAAAGA